CGAGCTCTCCTGGGATCATTGCAAACCTTGTTGCCTTCATTGCCAAGAAGAAGGTATTATGAAGGTTTTCTGGGCTTTGATTTCTCTTCTCATGCCTCCTATAGCATAAATACATGGTAATCTGTATTATTAAAAACAAAAAAAGAAAAACAAACCATAAAACTTACCAAAACCACACTTCTCCTTAGGAGATACAAAATAAACCCCTTTCCTCTCCTCCACCAAGACAAGGATGTTTTCTGACATGCAGTTCAGCAAGATAGCAGAGCTGGTCTGTTGACTTGCTGCCGCTGAAATGGCTAGCGCTCCCTGCTCCTGGCTGTACCTTTCTGCACCTTCCTTTGCCTTGGCTCTGGCACTCATCTGACCCCTTGGTATGTTGATTCAGTTCACTAATCCAGCAGAAAACTATCTTGGCAAAGAAAAAAAAGTTGAATTTTTGGAGTATGGGTTTGGCTGATTGGTTTCGTGTTTTTTTTTTTTTTTTTTTTTTTAGGCTAGTGAGCTGCCTGAGGGGTTGGGTGAAGGCCAGAGCTGGGGTGTGGGAGGAGGAGGTGGGACCGTGTGGCCTGCAAGAGGTCGCAGCGAAAGGTCGGATTCACTCATCCAGCATCTTTCCTTGGGGCACCACAGGAAAGAGCTTGGACCTGGAGCGCCGGGTGCAATGTCAGAACCTGTACAGAGCAGAGGGTGCTGGAGGAGAATTTGTTTCAGCAGTGGAGTTTCAGGAGGTGAGTATAAACTTTCCCTCTGGGGGTTATGGTCACCCATTTGTTTCCCAGTCCTCCACTCTGCTTTCAAAACCATGCTGCAAGTGCTAGGACAAAACTTTCAACCCAGCTGTCTCTGAGCTACCAAAATATCTTCTTTGCCCCTTGACCAGCTGTCAAGACTTTCCTGGAGTTCCTAGAACAAGCATCCTAGGTAATGTTTCCCTTGGCCTATGAGCAATGGTAGGGATGCTCTGGAGATGAATAGTAGGATTGCTCATTTGCTGTCAGGCATCTATCCTAAGCAAGTGCCTCAATAGCCGGTTCATCCAGGCTGCCTCCCCTGCCTTTGTAATACTCCAGTCTTGTTGTGCTCTTTAGGGTGAGATTGTGGTTCAAGAAGAAAGTGTCTCAGAGCAAAAATTGTGCAGCTCCAGAGCCTTGATTATTCAACTAGTTTGAAACACTTTAAAGGATCCCTAAAAATAGGTAAAAGGGATGTTTGTCAGCTGCAAAGGGATTATCATGCAGTAGTGTTGCTTGTCTTATTTTATGATGATGCTACAGAATACAGTCCCTCAGGTAGCCTCATTAATGTTTATGAATGAACCCCTTGTTTTATGCTTTTGGTTTTAGAACACAGAAATAGGGCGAGAGGCTAGTACGAGTAGTCTTAACCACGTGTGCTTTGGAAAGCTCAAGGACAGGGATGTAAGGTCTCCATAAACCTCAGTGGTTCTGTGTATGGATGACAAATGGATTTAGGCTTGTCCTAGACCAGCAGAGTAGATGTAGCCTAAGGGAGAAATTGAAGCAGAACTTTGGCTAAAATCCTCAGTGAAATTCTGCACGTTGCACTAAATTTCCCCGTGAACCTGTCAATAGGAAGTTGTCACTCCTGTACGTCTCACCAGTCACTTTGTTTGGATCTCTTCTGGTTGCAAAGGCAACCTGTGACCGTATATTGCCATAATCATAAGCACATCCACAGAGCAATATCCAGTAGACCCTGTTGCCTGTCAGCATCTCGGCCCAGGGTGGAGGCTGCTTTCCATTATCTATTTCTTAAAGAGGGCAACTGTTTCTTCTGGCTATCTTAAAAGAAGGATGGCAGTTACGCCCAGCCCATAACAGTATGCAGTGGTTTCTGAGTCTTACCGCTCCAGCCTTAAAATAACAGCTCTTTTTTCTGAGCCAACCAACAATTGTGGTCAGCCACTAATACCAGTTTAACCATTTGGCAACTGCCCTATAGGAAGTAGCTCTTTTGAGAGAGCCAGAAGAGACTTGTCCCCTCTGCCCGGGTGCTGTGCTGGGTTTGTTTCAGCCAGAAGTGGATGTTTACAGATTTCCTCAAATACGACCTGCCTCTTCATAATAACAACCAAACACCAGAAAGCTGATAGCAAACAAGTTGTGGAAATAGGTTAGAAATAGTAACTGTAGTTAACTGTGTTGGGTTTTTATTTGATGAATGAGTGGGTAAAATTCTCTGATTTCCCTCCCC